ATTTGTCAGACCATTCGTACGTAATGTTTAATTAACATATAGACATCTTCTTACATATAAAATACAAGGACCTTTTGGAAGGCTCTATTTACTCCTTAAGTATACATGAAACTGCGACCAACACAATCCATTCAACATTCGTATGACTGTACACCTACGCGTTCATAGAATGTTGAATGGATGTTTAGTTTGTGCGTGATGATTTCCTTTGGAATGCCTGGTATATATACATGGCTGAAAACAAATAAATCTACATTAGCTATTTATAACTGACAAAATTTACCTAGTTTCTGAAGTTTGCAGCCGATGTAAGCCTTCTTGTTGTGGTCGTTGAAGTCCAATTGAACGGGGTCGAGGTAATCTATAGTTGATTTTGAAGCTTCGACCACATCGGGGTCTCTGATGTTGTCTCCATTATCACCATGTTCTGACCTCGGCCCTGCTAATTATTATGCTTCTTTTTCCTTGTCCCTTTTTTGCTAGGTAGACGTGTTGTCTACAGCGATGCAGTAGTATTCTGGGGATGTGCATTCCCCACTCCCCTATACTGAATACTTCTATAGAGTTGAAAATTTGACGACTTGGTATAAACTGGAGGGGATGGACTTCATGGGATGTATCCATGGTCATCCCACTATGGTGTTGTACGCGGTGTCCTGGTCCATAATGTGAAATGTTGTTTTCAGGGTCACGCCACCGACTAAAACGGGGAGCATGATTTCCCTGGATGTTTTCTCAACTACATTGTTAAAACTAGTTAGCGTGATGCAGCGTGGCACTATCTTGTTTTCGAGTCTCACTTGGGCCAGCACTCGAGGATGGATAATGCACGCGCCGCTCTCATCATAATCATAATACGTTTAACATTAGTATCTAAAATAAGTAAAGTAATAAAGAGGGCATCGTTGTGAGGAAATGTCAAACCATCGACATCTGATTTATCGAAGATGATACTTTCTTCGAGTTCATTGTATCACTTGTGGGTGATTGATAGCTTGAGTTTGTGGGTAGTGGTGAACTTCACGTTGTTGATGGAAGCGTCATGGCTAACACCGATGATCATGTTGATGGTTCGAGTCGGTGAGGGTGGTTTTGGTGTCCCTTAGTGTTCCCGTCCCCTAGCGAAGTTGGTTCTTCCCCTGTCAATTAATAATTCTTTTAGGTGGCCCTATTGTAACATTTTTATGACATCTTGCCTCACGATGATACAACCCTCGGTTTTATGTCCCCATTCATGGCGGAACACATAGAAGGCATCCGACTTTCTAGTGTTCGGGTATGATTTTCCATAGCGTAGACTATCTCTGTGGGTGATACACAAAAATTATGAGCAGATAGTAGGGGCAATACCTCGGTCGTTCCGATGAGTTCCCGTCCTTGATTTGGATGGATCCTCTTCGTAGCAGGGAGAGGACGCCACGCCGCCCTGGCATATGGTTGATGTCACTCCCTATTAGGTCGTGGATTTGGATGATCTTTTCTAGCATTGTCAATTCGATCCTTTCTTGATTCTGCTTGTACTAAGGTTAGCCGGTGGGTGGGCCCATTAAGGTCGTCCTTGTCTGCACGTACTTCGGTGCAATAAGCATTACGGATTTCATCCTAAGTGGTGGAGGGGCACTTCATCAGCCGACTTAACAATTTTCTCGTTGCCCTTGAACCATACCTGCTCAGTCCATTCCAAAAAGATGCAACCGCCATCCCTTCTGACATGTCTGGTAGGCTCATCCTTACTTAGTTTAACTGGGCTAGGAAGTCCCTCATTCCCTCTCCCAAAGACTGTTTAATGGAAAATATGTTGTTCCGTCTCGCCTCGTCCTTCTTGGCTCCAGTATGGGCCGTTACGAATTTAGCGGACATCTCTTCGAAAGTTTCTATAGAGCGCACAGGTAGTTGTGAATACCATGTTAATGCTCCGCCTGTGAGGGTTTCGTCGAATTTTCAACAAAATGGAGGACACTTGTTCTTTGGCAAGGTCATTACCTTTTACGACGGTGACATAGTGAGTCACATGATCCTCTGGGTCGGTTGTGCCATCATATATCCTGAGATAGGGAAGCATTTTAAAGATTTTTGGTATGGTATGTGGGGTGGCGTCACCACTGTACCGTTGTTCGAAGAACCGACCGGCATCTCTCTTCGCCAAGAGCTTAGGGGAGCCCGATATTTTATCGACCCTTTCTTGGTATTCTTTCATTTATTCTCGGAGTGCCTTGTTTTCATTCTCTATTTCTTCCTCCTTTTCAGAATGGCCACAAGGGCGTTGTCACCCGCACTATCAATCACATTGTGAGTAATGTCTGTCGTTGGAGCAAAAGGCTGGTTGCACTATTCGTCCACCTGCTATATTATGCAAGTCCTTGCGTTTGTTATAGTCGTGTCTCAAGCGGGCTTGTTGAGGATGCTGGTCAGCGTGTCAGTTAGCCATGCTTTGAGGAGTGTTTTTACAGCTGCGGGCGTCTTTTCCTCCATAGATGTGGAGGCTCCCTTACCACGAGACTTTGTGATGCTGCGGTGAGGGGTGATGAGCCACCTCACCTAGGAGAGGTACTGGGCATTGCGCCTTCGTCCACAGTTTCACAGCTTTCGTTGATGATGTTCATGAGGTTGGTCGGGAGGTCGTTTATTATCCTCGTATTTCCTTCTTGGTTACCGGCCATGTTGGGATTGGTGTACACAAAGAAAGAAGAACTTGTCTTCCGTAATGTTAATGGCTCGTGTTAGTTGCAGATCTAGAAGAAACTAAGAATTTAACTAGGAAATCTCCACAGACAGCGCCAAATTGTTTGGCCCAAAAACATAAATCTTGGTTCAAATAATTAATTTCAGTTAAACATAGGTTAATATTTATTAAGAATGACTTCTTCAGATCTTGATATCAGAAAAGTAGTTGGAAGACGATTTTGAAGAAAATAATGATACTATGTGATAAATGCCTTTTATTATCAAGATTAGCAACCATGTGTATGATATTCAATGAATGACAACATAATGACACTTATGTAAAAGGGAATAATTTAACCACCAAGAGGTGGGACAAAAGAACCTTTCACCTGACAATGATTGAATGATAGATCCTCAAATAGTTGAGGATTCCTCGGATCTGACGAGAATCTTAGTGAAATGAAAAGTAACGTAAAATGTTGTATTGAATGAAGAGTAAATCTTTTTCAAAGTATTGTTATTACAAAATGAGTTTCAAGTGCCCCTCTTCGCTCTCTTTTTTCTATTTATATGGGATCTCTTCCCAAAAACTCTAATAGTATAAATGTAAGGAAGATTCGATTATGAAAATCATCCTCGCTAAGGGTGCTAATCCGACGTGTATCATGTTTGTATCCTTGTTCCCGATCATACCATAACAAACGGTCTAGAAACGAGCTTTCGATCGTGGAAACCGATATTATCGAATAGCTAGTGTTGAGCCGCTCGCACGGGGAGTTGATCGTCTGAAGAATTGTTCGTAAGAAGAATTGAAGACAGACGTTGAGCCTTGAAGAGAAAAGGTTCACCCTCGCTAGTAGGTCAAGCACGTGTCGATGACGTGTTATTTATGACCACTACATATACCATTATAACACACTGATTTGTCACCCCTTTCTTATAAGATGTACATATTTGAAAGAAAGGATTGTGTACCTTGTGTGTGGTTTGCGTTATCTCCATAATGTTTTTTTCAGCTTTTAATATTTGCTACTTCAAATCTTGTAGAGGCCATTAAATTTGGCAACAAAAATTGCAAGAAACGTTGCTTGCTTTAAGGGTTATGTCGGGTTTGAATTTTAGTAGTGCTTCTTCACGAATCACAAGTGCATTAATTTACGAAAGTCCACTATAATTAGGCCCCACAACATATGCCATTTGTTTAAAATATAAACTGCGAAAGTAGAATATCGAATTGTTTATATATATTAAAACTTACTGGCAGAGCGACTTTAATAAATTTCAAATGCATCATACTATAGGATTAAGTTAGAAACGTCAGAGTTGGTGGAATTTCTATAGGAGATGGATAATACATGACATGTTTATTCAAATCTTCGAAAGGCTTAGAATAAACAAACATTTCTCAAACCCGGCCCATGGTTCAATCGTCAAGATGGAATGTAAAAAAAACTACAAATAACAAGAAATCCATTAGGAAATGAGAGGAATGCATATGAGAATGGAACCTGGTAAATTTAACTATAAAATGGTTACTGGGCATCTAGGCGAGTGAAGCATATCATGGTTGTTTCAAATATTTACCATTTTGATACATTGAATAGTTAAGGGTCGTTTGGTTGGAATACGATTTATATCGGTATAAGTTATACCGATATAAGTTATATTGGAATAAGTTATGCTGAGATTAGTTATGCTGAGATTGTTGTTTATTCATTGTTTGGTATGTTGTATTAATAATGACAATTGCATAATTTCTAAGAAGAAGGTATAAGACCGGTGCTAATTACCCCACCTTCTATAAGATATAAGTTATCCCGATGTTAAAATTAACACCGGGATAACTTATACCTGGTTTGCTAACCAAACAGAGTATTAAGGTGGTATTAAATTCTTATACCACCCTTATACCTTCTTATACCTCATACCAAACGACCCCTTAATAATTATGAATATCAAGGTGTTTGGATGGCTTTTAAGCTGGTCAAATCAGTTTTTTAGCTTTTTTCAATGTTTGGCAAAGTCAAAAACTACTAAAAGTAAGTTAAAAATTACTTAAAATAAGCCAAAAACAATATGACATTATGTGGCACAAGCGAGGGATTAAATATTTTTTATCAAGTACCGAAATTCCATACAATATGTTGTCACGAAATGAAGACAAAGAGGGTCCATGATAAGGCCTGAATATTCCAAGGAAAATATTTATTGGATCATATATAACAAAAATACTACTCTATATATGTATATAAAAAGATTTTACACTCCCAAATTAATTACTTAATAGTCCATTATAATTAACTTTTTATATAAAATATGAATTAATACCTGCAAAACATAAGAAATAACCTATTACAAGTGATAAAACATTAAAACTACACCGATCATGCAAAAATCTCTTAGATTATCAGTGTACCTAAATTCTATTTCTATGTTACGGGATAAGCTTTTCTTGTCTCATAACATCAACCCAATGTAAAATTGAATCCAACATATGATACCTCGTTGTGAATCCAAGTCGATCTGCTTTATCTCTTGTACATAAAATCTTGGGGCAACTAAAGAGAACGTCTAGGAATTTGGAATTTGCTATCTCCTCCATCTGGGCATGAACCAGGTCATTTTTCGTGACAATTTCATTCCACACTTGTTCCTTGTTTGCCATGAATTCGGTGATTCTAAAATTTGGATCGAACATGTTTTCAGGAACTGTGACCCCAAATTTTAAGCCAATAGCAGGCCAAATCTCTTTCCACGTAAAGTTTGAGCCATTTATCGCATTAAAAGCTTGGCCATCTGTGGAATAAAATGTTTCATTGGTGGCTGACCAAATATGCTGCTGAGCAACAAGCCTAGCATCTGATCCATCCACCCACATTTCTTCCCAACATTCCTTTTTCCCACCAAATACAAAAGGCAGATTCAAATGTTTACAAATTGTTCCATAGACACACAAACTTCCCATAAAATTAAAAGTTGTCCTATGAGAACTGCCTATGATCAAACCTGGTCTGTGGACAGACCATGCTATTTTTCCTCTTAATTTCACCTTGAGCAAGTCCTCCAGTGCATAATAGAAGTTATACTCAGAATCATCTCTGGGACATTGTTCGTCGTAATAACAAACTTGTTTTGTACTAGAACAATATGTCTTTTGTAATGAGACGTAATGCTTGGTTCCTGTCTGTAGAGAAATATGTTTGAGTGCTTTAGCTCTTGGGAGGATAGCATTCAAGACATTATTCATCATGCTTTTGTTTTGCTCACAAATCTGTGGAGTATCTAGAGGAAATTGGCTTGCCCAAGTCACCCAAAATATATGAGTTGCATCAACCAATGAAGATAGCTTTTTTTGGGTTTCCGAGGTGTTTAGGAGATCACAAGAAATGAAATGGTAACGTGGATTTTGGGATGTGCTTATTTTTTCTGGCCTTCGACATATGCCGTATACCTTCCATTTAGATGTTGAGAGAAGCTGATTGGCTAGCTCCTTTCCCACTAGCCCCGTTACTCCACAGATGACAGCAACATATTCAGCTGGACTACTTTCTTCTCTTTGGACAGCCATCTCTTTTTTTGATCCCTTGGGTCTCAACACTCCTCGTTCATATCACGAGTCAAATGAAATGTTATAATGTACATAGGAAGTGCTTATAAACTGTGACTTTTCAAAAGCTTATGGATAGATGTTAAAGAATTGTCAAATGGGACGGTATTTTCGTGGTAATATGGGTAAGGTAGAGATTACTGTTAGCGGAAACGTAAAAGAAAGAACACAAGATTTAACGTGGTTCGGATCAAAATAATCCTACGTCCACCAGAGAACAGTTGCCTTTTTAATATTAACAAAGGAAGGGGAGAGTTCCCAATTACACTTAAGAGAATTTCTCTCTTAACTCTCTACGCACTACAATCTGTTGTATTATTTTTGGGATGGTCTCTACAAATGAAGGAGTGCATCTATTTATAGAGGTAAAAACTTCCTGTTGATGTCATTGGTGACATCAAACTACCTCCTCTTGATGTCATGGGTGACATCAAAGGAGGAAGCTTCCTCCTAGCATCCACACCAACTCTTTCCACCAACTCTTCCAATTGGCATGCCATTGTTGACTAAACATAAACCAACACCTTCAATCTCCACCTTGGTTTGCGTTTCGAGCGTGTGTGTGAACAACTCTGGCCAAAACTTCTAAGCTTACTGGGCAACCCCGTTGTAAGAAACAAGAAGAATCAAACCATTGTTGAACATACCACCTCCACCTAACAATTGTTCTCTTCGGAGTTGCATAAGTTGATGCACACCCCCGCCAAGTCCTTGCAGTGTGCAAACTTAGCAAGTGAGACTATCTTGGTCAACATATCTGTAACATTATCGTCTGTGATAACCTTCACGGCCTTGATAGTTCCCTCTACAACAACATCTCGAATAAAATGAAATCTGACATCAATGTGTTTAGTGCGCTCATGAAATCTCTGATTTTTCATTAGATGAATAGCACTCTGACTATCACATCTAAGAGTTGATTCCAGCTGAACCAAACTCAATTCCGCTACTAAACCTTTCAACCAGATTGATTCATTCACTACCTCCGCTGCTGCCAAGTATTCTGCTTCTGTCGTAGACAAAGCGACAATCGACTGCAGAGTCGACTTCCAACTAACGACACTGCCAACGAGGGTAAAGATGTATCCAGATGTGGACCTTCTTCTGTCAAGATCTCCTGCATAGTCAGAATCTACATAACTGAGAATTGAAATACCTCTACCACTTTTTTGAAAGGTCAGACCAACACCAGAAGCTCATTTGAGATATCTCAATATTCACTTGACAGCTTCCCAATGCCTCTTTCCTGGGCTGGACATGTATCTACTTACCACACTTACAGATTGAGCAATATCTGGACGTGTGCATACCATAGCATACATAATGCTACCAACTGCACTGGCATAAGGAATCTTTGACATATGCTCCACCTCATCCTCGGACTGAGGCATTTGTAACTCTGAAAGTTTAAAATGAGGAGCTAATGGTGTACTTACAGGTTTGCACGTATGCATATTGAATCTCTTGAGAACCCTTTTAATATACCTCTTATGCGAAAGATGTACAACACCGTCTTCTCTTGAAATCTCCATACCAAGGATTTTCTTTGCAGCTCCTAAAACCTTCATGTCAAATTCCTTACTCAACAGTTTCTTCAAAGTATTTATCTTTGTAATGTTGTTAGCAGTAATAAGCATATCATCAACATACAACAGTAAATAAATCATTGAGTTACCAGACATCTTCTTGTGATACACACAGCTATCAAATGCACTCCTTGAGAATTCATGTGTAGTCATGAATGCATCAAACCTCTTGTACCACTGTCTAGGGGATTGCTTCAAACCATANGAGATCGATTGACAATATGAGCAGTAGTGTGAACTGCTTCAGCCGAAAATACTTTGGACATTTTGGCTTGTAGGAGCATACAACGAGCCTTTTCAAGAAGAGTTCTGTTCATTCTCTCGGCAACTCCATTCTGCTGTGGGGTATGCCTGACAGTCCTATGTCTTGAGATCCCATGAACCTTGCAGAATTCATTAAACTCTTCATTGCAAAACTCCAAGCCATTGTCTGTGCGAAGATACTTGATTTTCCGCTCCATTTGATTTTCAACCAAAATCTTCCACTCTTTAAATGCTTCAAAAGCATCACTTTTTGCCTTCAAAAAATGCACCCAAACCTTTCGTGAGAAATCATCAATAAAAGTGAGAAGATACCTCTTTTTGCCCTTCGATGGAAGTTTAGAGGGACCCCATAAATCTGAATGGATGTAGTCTAGCACTCCTCTTGTCTTGTGTTTGCCAGTGCTGAAGCTGACCTTCTTTTGCTTCCCTAGAACGCAGTGCTCACAGAAGTCAAGTGTGCTGATCTTCTCACCTTCCAAAAGGTTACGATTGCTCAACATCTCCAGTCCACGTGCGCTCATATAACCCAGTCTCATGTGCCATAGTCTTGCCTTGTCATCATTAGATAACTGCACTGTAGATGTATTTGCAGAGCCAACAATGGTGCTTCCGGCCAATGTGTAAAGGCCGTTCTCCAGCTTGCCTTTCAGCATGACTAAAGAACCTTTAGTTACCTTTATAGTTCCTGCTTCGCTCATGTACCTGTAGCCTTGTTCATCCAGAGTACCCAGGGAGATCAAATTCTTCTTTAGATCAGGAACATGACGGACTTGTGTAATAGTCCTCATGACTCCATCATGGCAGTGAACCCGAACTAAGGCAATGCCAACTATTGCACAAGTTGCATTATTGCCCATTACTACGGTTCCTCCACTTTTCTCATAGCTGCTAAACCAGTCTTTTCGGAACGTCATATGCAGAGTGCAAGTAGAGTCTAACACCCATTTGTTTCCATAACTACTATTATTATTACACGATGTTGTTAGTACATAATCATTATCAAAATCATGCACCTGTTCAACTGTGGATGCACTCGCCTTTTCCTTGGACTTTAACACTGGGCAGTCTCGTTCAAAGTGCCCCTTCTTGCCATAACCCCAACACTCTGTATTCTTCTTGTTCATATAAGACTTTGATCTGTGCTTTGATTTGCTCTTTCCCTGTTGGCTAGTCCGGCCTCTCACAAAGAGCCCACTTGCCTGGTCATCTCTATCTCCTTCAATGTGTCTCCGCACATCACTAGAGTTAAGTTCCTGCCGCACTTGATCAAGCTTGATAGGCTCCTTGTTATACATCATTGAATTCTCAATATCACGATATCCTGAAGTCAATGAAAATAGCAAAGCACATGCAAGCGTCTCCTCCTCCTTTTTAATTCCTGCAATCTGTAAGTCCATGACAAGTTTATTGAACGCATCTAAATGATCTTGTAACGAAGTACCTGACCCCATCTTAAATGTGTGAAGATGCCATTGTAACAACATCCTTGTTGTCACTGATCGGTCTTGGTATAGCCCTTCTAGCTTTTTCCATAACTGTTTGGCTATTTCTTCGGTACCCGTACTCACTTCACAAAGCATGTTAGGTGCAAAGGATAGTTGGATTGCACTCAATGCATCCCCTTCAATCTTCTCCTTGTCGGGAGCTGATATATCCTTAGGATACTTTCCGTCAATAGCATGGATTGAACCTTCCCTCCGCAGTAACACCATCATCTGGATCTTCCAGATATTGAAGTTGTTGCGTCTACTGAATCTATCAATTTCAAACTTCATGGAACTCATCTTTGCTTGTTCTTCCTCCTTGGATAGTTAAAGAATCCTGTTGCTCTGATACCAATTTTTAGCGGAAAAGTAAAAGAAAGAACACAAGATTTAACGTGGTTCGGATCAAAATAATCCTACGTCCACCAGAGAACAGTTGCCTTTTTAATATTAACAAAGGAAGGGGAGAGTTCCCAATTACACTTAAGAGAATTTCTCTCTTAACTCTCTACTCACTACAATGTGTTGTATCATTTTAGGGATGGTTTCTACAAATGAAGGAGTGCATCTATTTATAGAGGTAAAGACCTCCTCTTGATGTCATTGGTGACATCAAACTACCTCCTCTTGATGTCATGGGTGACATCAAAGGAGGAAGCTTCCTCCTAACATCCACACCAACTCTTTCCACCAACTCTTCCAATTGGCATGTCATTGTTGACTAAACATAAACCAACACCTTCAATTACTTTTGCAGATCTGAGGATTCTTATCTTTTAACTGTAAACATGGCACTAGGGCCGGACATATTTCTAGTAAAATTGATATTTCTCCAAATTAAAAAAAGAAAATGCTATTGGAAATCAATATTGGATTATTGGGTTACTGGTTCAGCTACAGTTTAATATTATTTGACTAGTGGGTTGCTCTAGTGGCGAGCACCCTTTACTTCCAACCAACAGGTTATGAGTTCGAGTCACCCCGAGAGCAAGATGGGGAGTTATTGAAAGGAGGGAGCCAAGGGTCTATCGAAAACAGCCTGCGGTAAGGTCTACATACACACTACCCTCCCCAGGTCCCACTAGTGGGATTATACTGTATTATTGTTGTTGTTGTTGTTGATTATCAATTCCGGACTCGATTTATCTTATTTTATTAATTGTTTAACCAATAACTCAATAAGCTTTAATAAAAATTTAATGTTACCCTTAGATATATAAAATCGCCTAAGATAACTTGTTTTCTAACTGCTTTTTGAAGCCAAGATCTTCAGAGAAAAGATAAACATCAAGCTTTTTCACTTCTATAGGAGATGGATAATACATGACATGTTTATTCAAATCTTCGAAAGGCTCAGAATAAACAAACATTTCTCAAACCCGGACCAAGGTTGAATCGTCAAGATGAAATGTACAAAACTACAAATAACAAGAAATCCATTAGGAAATGAGAGGAATGCGTATGAGACTGGAACCTGGTAAATTTATTATATGACTATAAGATGGTTACTGGGCATCTAGGCGAGTGAAGCATACCATGATTGTATCAAATATTTACCATTTTGATACACTGACTAGTTAACAAATTATGAATAAGTCTTTAGTAATCAGGATTACCACATTATTTGTCATGGAAGAGAATAAGTATTTGAATGATGACAAAAGAGAAACAAGAAAGAAAAAAGAAATACACGCACAAGATGACATTTTGTGGCACAAGCGATTTTTTTATCAAGTACAGAAATTCCATACAATATGTTGTCACGAAATGGGGCCGAGTGTTGGCATGTTAGAACTCAAATATTCAGAAGATGAAAGTAACAAAAATGAGAATCTTAAGGTGGATGTGCGGGCACACTAGGATGGATAAGATTAGGCATGATGATATTCGGGAGAAGGTGTACGTGGCTCCCACTGATGACAAGATTCGGGAAGCGAGGCTCAGATGGTTCGGGCATGTTCATAGGAGAAGCCTAGATGCTCCGGTAAGGAGGTGTGAGCGGCTGGTTGTGGAGGGCACAAGAAGAGGTAGAGGGCGGTTTAAGAAGTATTGGGGAGAGGTGATCAGGTAGGATATGGCGAGGCTTCAGATTTTCGAGGACATGACACTTGTTAGGAAGATGTGGAGGTCGAGTATTAGGGTTGTAGGTTAGGAGGTAGTCGAGTCTTGCTTTACTTCGTACCTTTGTGAGACTAGTCTGGTAGGGTTTTTGTGTAAGATAGCTAGTGGCCATATTGTGTCTTACTATTTCGCTTTTCAGTGCAGGACCTATTTACTAGCTATCGCTTTTGCTTTGGATCTTTCTTCTGAAATTCATGTTGTACCTATTTTTCCTATGATTTTTGTGGTGATACTAATATTATATCCTTTTGTTTTTTTGTTTTCTTGAGCCGAAGGTCTTTCGGAAATGGCCTCTTTACTCTTCCGGGGTAGGGATAAGGTCTGCATACACACTACCCTCTACAGACCTCACTAGAAGGATTTTACTGGGTTGTTATTGTTGTTGTTGCATGTTATCACGAAATAAAGACAAATAGGGTCCATGATAAGGCCTGAATATTCCAAGGAAAATATTTATTGGGGCATATATAACAAAAATACTAAATATGTATATAAAAAAAATTTACACTCTTAAATTAATTACTTAATAGTCAATTGTAATTAACTTTTTATATAAAATATGAATTAATACCCGCAAAACATATGAAATAACCTATTACAAGTGATAAAACATTAAAACATTAAAACATTAAAACTACACCGATCATGCAAAAATGTCTAAGATAATCAGTGTATCTAAAATCTATATCTAAGTTATAGGATAAGCTTTTCTTGTCTCATAACATCAACCCAATGTAAAAGTAAATCCAACATATGATACCTAGTTGTGAATCCAAGTCGATCTGCTTTGTCTCTTGTACATAAAATCTTGGGGCAACTAAAGAGAACGTCTAGGAATTTGGAATTTGCTATCTCTTCCATTTGGGTATGAACCAGGTCATTTTTTGTGACAATTTCATTCCACACTTGTTCCTTGTCTGCCATGAATTCTGCGATTCTAAAATTTGGATAGAACATGTTTTCAGGAACAGTGACCCCAAATTTTAAGCCAATAGCAGGCCAAATCTCTTTCTACGTAAAGTTTGAGCCATTTATGGTATTAAAAGCTTGGCCATCTGTGGAATAAAATATTTCATTGGTGGCTGCCCAAATATGCTGCTGAGCAACTAGCCTAGCATCTGATCCATCCACCCACATCTCTTCCCAACATTCCCTTTTCCCACCAAATACAAAAGGCAGATTCAAATGTTTACAAATTGTTCCATAGACACACAAACTTCCCATAAAATTAAAAGGTGTCCTATGAGAACTGCCTATGATCAAACCCGGTCTGTGGACAGACCATGCTATTTTACCTCTTAATTTCAACTTGAGCAAGTCCTCCAGTGCATAATAGAAGTTATACTCAGAATCAGCTTTGGGACATTGCTCGTCGTAATAACAAACTTGTTTAGTAGAACAATATGTGTTTTGTAATGAGACGTAATATTTGGTTCCTGTCTGTAGAGAAATATGTTTGAGTGCTTTAGCTCTTGGGAGGATAGCATTTAAGACATTATTCATCATGCTCTTGTTTTGCTCACAAATCTGTGGAGTATCTAGAGGAAATTGGCTTGCCCAAGTCACCCAAAATATATGAGTCGCATCATCCAATGAAGATAGCTTTTCTTGGGTTTCCGAGGTGTTTAGGAGATCACAAGAAATGAAATGATAACGTGGATTTTGGGATGTGCTTTTCTTTTCTAGCCTTCGACATATGCCGTATACCTTCCATTTAGATGTTGAGAAAAGATGATTGGCTAGCTCCTTTCCAACTAGCCCCGTTACTCTACAGATGACAACAACATATTCAGCTGGAGTTCGTTCTTCTCTTTTACAATCTTGGACAACCATCTCTTTTTTTGATTCCTTGGGTCTCAACACTCCTCGTTCATATCACGAGTCAAATGAAATGTTATATAATGTACATAGGAAGAGTTTATAAACCAACTATCCCTTATATATTTCGCGCAGAGTTCACTTCTATATCTTACGAGTACCAACTACACTACTTGTGTGTTTTTTTTAAATGTTTGCGTACACTCTCAATAAATAAGTAGTTACTCCCCCCTCTCCGATGTACTTGCTCACTATATTAAAAATTGATGTTCACTTTCACTTGTTCAATTGAATAATTAATGAATAATTTACAATTTTACACCTATTTAACCCTTCTTGTTGATTATTATAACTACTAAAAAACTGCCAAAAAGCATCCACAAAAACCGACCGAAATCAGTTAGAATCCCACAAAATCGACCGATTTCCGACTGTTTTCAATTGGTCGATAAAATAATGGTTGCAATAGGGGAGCAACAAAAATCGGTCACTATTTTCCGACCGAAGTCGGTCGGTAACTGTCAACGCAGTTTGACCAGATGTGTGACACAAATTAATTTTACTAATCGACTTCGGTTGGTATTGTTAAAAATATTTTTAATTATTTTTAAATTACCTACCAAATTCGGTCGGAAATCTAATTATTTATTTTTTAATTATTTTTAAATTACCGACCGAAATCAGTTGGTATTTTTTAAATATATAATTATACATTTTTATTTAAAACTGTTAATTCTGACCGAAATCGGTTGGTATTATTTAAACAATTAAAATTTAAAATCATAAATTCTGACCGAAGTCGATTGGTAATTTTGATTTTCTGGGAATTAATATGAACATTTCCGACCGAAATCGGTCGGTTTACTGGGTAATGTTTTGCCAGAAAATAGTTGTTTAATAGTTGCACCACCTGCCAACAACCAATCACCTATAATGACAGCATTACATTGCTGCCATTCAACCAATAACAACAATAACAACAACAACAAGAACAACAATAACAACTATCAAAACTATATAAACAAAATATTATCACCATCTCCATCTTTATCTCGACTAAACTATATTAATAAAACATCATACCCAACAACAAAACATTTCACAAGTTAAAAATTCAGATATCATTCAATGAGTGTTTTGTACTACATCATATTCATCTCCACTACTATAGTATTCATCGTTGGCATGGTTCGAAGGATTACCATTTGGGGAAGGCTGACAAGACCAGGGAATCGGGAAACCACTACTAGTAAGAAAATTGGCTAGCTGACCTTGAAGGATATTAAATTGTTAGTCCCTGTTTTCTAGCGGAACTTGAAGGGTATCTATTTGTTTATCTCTCTTTTGTTCTCTAGTCTTTGTCTCTTCAAGCTCTGCTGTCAGCTTTGCTATCTTCTTCTCCATAGATGAGAGAGTCGACCTATCAATTGTCTCACCCTGGGCGGAAGTCCCTATACCTTGCAATCCAGCCATGTAGCGCCGAAATGCTCTCTCTAGTGCTATCCCCTTTTTAGGACTACCGACCATCCAACCATATCTTCTGCGCTTCTTCGTCTGAAATGGGTGGTCGCTCTCCTTGCTCATTCGGTGGCAAGCTCTGAGTGTATTCCTCCACATTAGCCTTGTAGCGACCATTTATTTAGAAGATAGAAAATTATTAACTATATAATATTATAAACATTAATTTCAAGTTATAGTAGTTATGAAACTTACATATGCAGTCTCCGCCCGGTCCTCGACCCATCTAGATGGATCTGTCGGCGTCTTTTTCTTCCGGAGGTGAGTCTCCATGAAGAACTCATCATGAGTCATGAGTCATCTTCCTCCCATATTTTTTCCTACAAATATAATAAAACATGTTAACTAAATTAAAATATATAAATATAGTTCGATAAAAATAGATTTTAATATTTTAAGAAATTACCAGTAGTGTCCTCATAGTCCCCATGCTCCTTGCACCCACACAGTGCAAGGAGCCAACCTTCTCAGATGCTCGGGCCTTCTTTCCCTGTTCACTCCTCTTCTCGAATTTTTCGGTGGTCCACTATCTCAGCAGATCCTCCCATAAATGCGGTAGAACCCATGAAGGCTTCTTGCTCTTCTTTCGAGCAGAGCAGAAGGAATCAGATAGTCTCTTACGATATTTGAACACAAAATTTGCACAAATTTTACTGTTATGCTGGTCCGCCTAGGCACACTTAGTCTGCAAATAAAGTATGTAAAGTTAGATGAAAATATTGTTAATATAATGCTTAAATAAATAAAAATTGTATAAAAACCTTAAATTGGTTGAAAATTTGCTGCACGAGCTCCGGTGGAAAGTCACTCCAAGACGCATAGGGTGCATCATACAACCGGCCAAGAGCTTCAGTGATTATCTTTGTAGTCCGATGATTAGGTATGAACCTGCAACATAGCAACTACATTAAATAAACAAGAGTAGCTATTATAATTCCGCAAAAATAAAGAAGTAATAGATAAATCTTATCCATTTAATTAAATATTGAATATTACAACTTAGGATGATAAATCAATTAATTATTCTTTACATATATGTATATATACATACATAGATAGGATACAGTGTCCATATAAAAGTAATCTAAACATACACGCGCCCGCGCGCGCACACACACATACATATATATACATACATACATATATATATATATATATACATATATATACATACATATATATACATATATATACATACATATATATATATATATATATATATATATATAATTTTTGTTATATTAAAAAACCAATTACCTTGGGTGGGAAAGAATAATTTCAAATATACCGATCGATTTCGGTTGGTATCTTTAAATATTTTTAATTAAAAATTATTTTAGTAGATAATATGCAAGTATGACCAAATCTTGGTCAAAGATTGACCAAAATCGGTCGGAAATTTTATATCTTTTTTCTGGGACCACTATGTCCGTTGTCAGAATTATTTTCTTTGACTTTTGCGATCAATCTACTTATGTTTTGATCGATTTCGGTTGATTTTTTTCAAACGATTCGGTCAGTATTCTGTGGACGAATTTTGTCAGTTTTCTAGTAGTGTTACTTATTTCTTATTTATTTTTCAACATATAATAAATAGGGATAATATAATAAAATCATCATATTATTTATTGTTTCTTAAAAGATATACCAAGTCAATAGTGCACAAGTAAATTTAGTCGGAGAATAATAAACTATCAGAAAGGAGTAGGTCGACGTTTGTAGTTTACGTTAAATGCTTTTCCCATTTCCATTAATTGAAACATAACATGATTGATGGAAGATACAATGCTTTTGATTTATTAATACTGAATTGGGGCAATGGGCATTCAGGCAGCCTCTCCCTTACAGCTCATTCATTAGATTCATAATGCGTAATGCGTTCCGCTATTCGCTTCACGTGCACCATTGTTTCATAGCTCTGTCACATTTCCTTTTTCCGCCTCCGCGAGGGTGAATGAGTTTTTCCAATTAAAGGACAATCGAAACGTGATTTATTTGTTTATTTTAGAGTCGCCACTTGAGAGATTTAGGGTGTCCCAAGTCACCAATTTAATCCCGAATCGAGGAAAAGAATGACTTTGTATTACAGTTCGCAAACCAGAAATCCGGATAAGGAATTCTGTTAACCCGGGAGAATGTGTTAGGCATTTCCGAGTTCCGTGGTTCTAGCAAGGTCGCTCAACTGTCATATTCGGCTTGTTTATCTGATTTTATATAATTATGCGCACATGTGCAAGTTTAACTCTTTACCGCTTTATTATTATATTTTAAAAGAATGTGAACATCGTTTAAAAAACATGTCTTTGGATGGCGTCACATGAAATGCACCTGCAATCCGGAACACATTTTTATTCAATGTTTTGGGATTTGGATTTGGGTCGCATGAAATGCGCACCCGAATTTAAGACAATAAGATTAATTAAGACGTGTCCTAAAGAACTAGCGTGTTGTTACTTTGGGAAAAAATCGTGAAATTTGCAAAACGGCTCGTCCCAGAATCTAAATATTTAATATATACATTTAACGAGGGCCCCGCAATTTATGCGTTTTATTTGGGCGAGGCTCATCTCTTTTTATTTAAAGGCAAACCTAAAAGCAACTATGATTTCCTATCTTTGTTTGTCTCTAAAAAATGGAAAGGTCCTACTGTATTTACATACTTATGAGTTATTATAGTTAAGTTTCGAACGTGATTTGTTGAAAGAGGAACGCGATACGGGTAGTCCGTTTGGCAGTTATGGGCCCAGGCCTAATGTGCATGAAGTTAAATTCGGCCTGGGCCGCTCTTATTCCAATTGGGCCTGTTCAACTTATTTGATATGTGTTTAACATTTATAAAAAAAAAGGAAAAAAAACTGAAATGCGATGTATTATTTGCCTTAATCAAACCATATTCCTAACAACTTAAAACAGACCATTTGTTTAAAGAAAGAACTATTGGGTACCTAACATGCTTCTTGACAAACACAATAATGAATTAATAGAACATGACTACTACAACATCAATCCCTTTCAATTATAAGCAACACATATAGTTTTCCAACTAAATGATCGGTATAAAAGTCCAACTACATCACAGTTAACCACATAGTTCTATTAGGGAAAGTAAACTATCATGCAGGCGACCTATTGTTTCGATATATTTTCTAAAGCTGATTTGAAATAACTTCAACTCTTCCGACTTTCTTTGTATTCATGCCTCAAATTTCAGCTTACATTGACAGTTTATCAGTCGTGTACCTGGTATAGGAAAGCAAAAGAAGAAGGAGGAATGATCAGCAGGGCAGTATGCAACAACACAGCAACAGCAGCAACAGGGACAACCCAATAATAAACCTAAAATCAGCAGCAACTTAAGTGAAAACCTAGCAGAAATTTCAGAAGAAACCCACCGCAACAGCCAGTGGACTTTCAGTCCAAATCAGAGAACCAAAACACTTAATCTGGAGCAGTTTTTTAGCAAGTAAAGGACCCAGGGAAGCTAACTGAAAACCAAC